AATTATATCGTCAGTTATATCGTTATCGCAAATTTTCAAATATATATCGTGATAAATATTTTTGGCCATATCGCCCTGCTCTACCCTACACCATCATCTTCCATGTAACCTGCCATACATCTCCAAAGAAATCAGGTCAAACCTGACTACCGTGGAAGGTTACAGGTGTGGTATTAAGAGTGGTTTCCAGTGATGATTTCCAGCTAAATAATAATTCAGGCATCACTAACAGAATCTTTCAGGCTTTATTTTAAAACTAATGCCCAGGATTTTTAGCTTGGAGTCACACAAAACATCAAATTTTCTATTCATTATTAGATGAACACATTTGTCATTTGTATGCAAATTAAAATCAGACATCCCAAACTCTGGGAAGCCTGCGCACGCTTGCACTACATTTGAACTATAAAACCCACTGTGAAAAGGCGCATTGTTTTTCCCATGTCACCAAGGAAACCTGAGCAGTGCGTGGGTGCTCACCAAACTTGCTGCTTCAGAGCTGGAGACTTCTCTTCAATAGATACGTTATCTGTTTTCCACCAATGTTTTTTCATCGACACTTATTTTAAAACACAAATGACTCAAGGTTAAGAAAAGCTAGGAAGAGTTCACAACTTTTAAAGCTGCTGACAGCTACAAAGGTGTTAGCCTGTCCATGACCAGAGTCCATCACAAACTGTGCTGCATCACTCGTTTCACAGTGAAGAGGATCGGTGCGGGACATCTAGTGACAGGTCTCACTACTGGTGTTACCATTACAACACCTTGGATAAATATGGGCCCTCGACAGGATTAAGTTTTTGAGAGTGAGCACTACGGACTGTAAGGAATTATGGTGCTCTGCAGTTGAAATCCTGACTAAGCCCAGCAGCAACACAGCTGCTTGACTGGATGTAATAATTGTGATGCAGAGGTGGGTGTCCTTTTCAGACACGGAAATGAGAGAATAATTGAGCTGGAGTCCGACTGATCCAGCTCTGCAGCTGTGGAGGCCAACTCACTGAGTGCGGCCAGCACTGATAAAATACTCTTCAACTGGACTTCAGTCTTTAGCTGCTCTTCCCAGACCACCTGCACACAGCAGATGTGTTCCTGGCTAGCACCACAATGAAATACTATGCCCCCCTCCCCTATTTTTTTCCCCTTTCAGCCTTCTAGGGCTGCTACAAAGTATTATTATTAACATTTGTAAGCCTTCAGGCTACAAGTGTATCTATGAACTTTAGGTCCAGGGGATATTTCACTGAAGCGCTGGCCTGGTATTTCCTATATTATTGCTAGGCTTATATTTGCAGTAAGCAGTGCAGATGAATATGAACTTCTAATATGGGACAGAGCAGTGGAAAGCAGCAACACTACTTTCTCAAAATAACGGAAAAGTAAAGTGCAATGATCCAATCTGTGCACTTAATGGAGATCACGTGTCTCTGGTCCACAGCAGGATAAAGTAAATAACTGTTTTCTTAACAACAACAACAACAGCACCGCAGCAATTTCCTAATGTTGTAACCCCGCTCAACATTTGGCAATAAAACCCTTTCTGATTCTGAAAACATGTTAGCCATTAAAACCACATCTTAATACACTTTTAAGCCTGACCCTATTAGCTCGGGGTGGAACATCTTTTTCCAACATTGGCTGCACTCTCAGGTCGAAACACTTACACACGTAACCTCATTAATTATCCATTAATGTTACACATAGCCTCAAAAACCAAGCTCTATTAAAACCCTGCAATTAAATGACTGTTCACCTGGCAAAGGGACACGGTTCAAGTCACCGTACGGTTCCTTTAATGTTTGGTTCTTCTAGGTAATCCGTAGAGCTTATCTGAACCACTGATGTGTATCAACCGTGAACTTTAACGAGCATAAAAGGGAAATATTGTATAGCACCGAGTACGTGCTTAGAGCAGTGCTGACCCAGGCTGGCGGGTCTTAAAATTCATGTAATGTCTTCGACATGTGTAACCTGACTGCAATGATCACGAAGGCTCGTTTTTAATACAGTTCGGCGCGACTTTCCCTCGAGGGCGGCACGCGGCGGAGTTATCTGTCAGCACATAAGCTTGGCTACACCTATTTATTTGACAAGGGCTTAATCTGCCCGTACTCGTATCAGTCGCGGTCATTTTTCCAGCCTTGATAGCTAACAAGCCGTACACCAGCAATTATGTAACCTCAGTTTAAGAAGGCGAATGTTAACGTTTGTGACGGCGACAAAACGTTCACGCCTATTTAAACCCACACCAGCAAAATAAATAAACCAATACAAATATGACTTTAACTGTCGCAGCTCGCGAGCTAATGGGAAGGAGAGAAGAGGTAGAGGGACATTACAACACCGTAACACCACCAAAAACACCTACCTAATGCTGCGGACACGGCACAAGAGGCTCGGGTTAGTCGATCACAAAACCTCCACCGAATCCGGTGTCGGTGTCCAGGCAGTCTTGCCGTCTCCTGGAGCCGGTTTACGAGTATTTTCTGTGGGTATACATGATATGTGGAGCGCGGTTCTTAGACTGATGGTAGACAGGAGGCAAGAAACGCCAGCCAGCCTGCTACAAAGCGAGGAGCTCGGCTGGTATTGAAAAAGCAGTTGTGATTAGTCTAGAATTTTAACAGGGTTATGTTTCAGAGCTGCTGATTGGCTCTTGCGAAATAGGGCGGAACTACAGTAGATTTAAAAGCACAGTACAGCCAAACGGACTTTCACTGCAGCCTCAACGAGTCAGTGATAAAGTCTGTAGATATGAATATGAAGACATTTTAACCATTTTTGCAAACATTGCACGATTTTTACGAATCTAAAGTGTGGAGAAAATTCAAACTTGTAAACAAAGCTTAGGTTGCTTGTCGTAATGACTATGTACTCTCGATAAATATAGAATAATAGGTGTTTTGCATATCTGCGGTTAGCCTTGGGTGCCCTATAAATACCAAAACCGTAAAATGCATGTGAAACTGATGAGGCTGCTGTTCCGCCACTTATAATTTGATTACCCTGATCGAAAACATCCCAACTTTAAAGCACAGCTTGTCAGAATGAGCACAGGGTAAAGTGCTGAACTGCAGCTGAACCTGTTGGGAAGAATACTACTTGTCCTGCAATACCTGTGCAGCTCTCTCTATAAACATCTTGAATGCATGAGTGTGTATGATATAAGCCTACCTGTTAACCTATTTAAGATGGAAATTTGCTTGTGAATTGCAAAAGGAAATAGGAAAAATAGGAAATGTAGCAAAGACCTTAGAGGTAAAAATAAATAAATAAATAGATGGAAATAATAATCACCCATCACAATATGGCAGACATTTGTTATTATAGCTTTCAACCAAATTAGAGGTACTTTGGAGACATTCAACCTCATGGTTTCCAAAGTGTCTCGAACACATTTGATAAGCAAATACCAGTGATATGGAGAGTATGGCTGTGTGGTATATAATAACATATCATACAGTCACAATACTCTCCACATCATAGTTTACACTGAGACATGTGTTTTATGTTTATCTCTAAATGAAGCTGCCAGTTGTTTGAGGTGCCTCACAAGAAAAATGGAAGCGTCAAAAATGTTAGTTTTGTGACGTGTCGGTGCAGAGGATGATGGCTACTTTAAATTAATGCCTTTTCTGTACTAGTTTATAGTTTGTATGTTTACTTAATACAAGTGAGGTGGCGCTGTTCGTATCACTGTTTCATTTTTCGTGATCTAGATGGCTAAAACAGAAGATGCTGCTTTGGATACATTCTTTGCTGCCTTGCATAAAGCTTCTGTCGACCGCTTATTCACAAGGTGGATGGATGTGCATTTGATTTTTTTATATCAGATGTCCTTCCTGATATGACATGTACATGTTCTACGTGCAAAAACGCATCTGTGTGCGTTTATGCAAAGTTGTGGTAATTTGTGCTTCACTATCACATCAAGCCAACTAGCTCAGCAAATATCACCAAACAGGTGAATTATTATTATGTTAGTCGTGCTAGCTAAAGATACAGTGGCTGTGTTTGGCAATGGGAAAAAAATTTGAATGTACAATAATTTCACTCTCAGAGATACAGAAAGATGTAAGAAGGAGAGAAAAGATAAAAGAATATGTTTTAAAGACTGCTAAGAACGTGATGATTTATAAACTGGAAATTTATGTAATGTCCTAATTTTGCGTAGGGAAAATAATATCACCATGAATATTACCACAGGGGTGACATTACCTTCTGATTTGTTGTATCTGCATGGCATTATTGCATTATGGCATATTTTGATTAGATGTTTAAAAACTACAGAGTTTGTAGCATAACTAATTTACTAATTATTCTAAAAAAATAACGATTTTGTTATTACTTTGCATTTCAGTGTTTATTTTGATGATCATTCAAAGTAATTCTGTTTAAAATAAGGACACCTGGCACCACTAACTTTAATTTTAACATCCAAATACGTTGTAAAGCCAAAACTATTTCTATGTGTTTATTATAGGAACACATTCTTATCTTTCATATGGGTGAAGTAGGCGCTGTATGACATGCAGAAGACAAAAACCTCTAAGTGAACAAGGTCACAGGAAGACCGAAACTCTGGGACTAAAAGCACGTCAAGCCTGAGAGGGCAGATTAATCCTCTCACTGAGGAGATTGCTTTTGTGCTTCAGAAATATTTCTCATGGCAGTGGACGCTTTGAAGGCAATGACGGAGAAAAGATGTCCAATGATCAATGATGCCATTATTATGGATCTCTGGTTTCAGTCACAGTGAGCAGTCAGCAGAGATCAGCACTCAGCATCTCCAGCAGGGTTCAAAAGTGCATGTTAGCTGATATGAGTGGGCACAGAAAAAAACTAAGAGCAAACATTACTGGAGGGTTTGACAGACAGTGCTGAAGTTTATAGTTGCAAAAACATTTTTAACCCTTTTGTGTTAACGATGAGCACATACAAATCATTAGACACTCTCCTTCAATGACAAGGTTAATTAACATATTAAATGTGAAAATAATTTAATAATTGCAATATTTGTTGTCCTGTGTTGCAGTCAAGCAGCGACCTTCATCATATCAGACAACTGTCTATCGGATACGCCTTAAATATTTAATTATATATTGATCCATCCTAACCAAATATACGGAGCATCGGTGGACAGCTGACACCTTTCGGCCTCTGAAGAAGACGGTCAGTTTCACACAGACTTAATTGGAACATAGCAAGTGGTTTGATATGATATGGTTTGGCCAACACACACGTTTCCCACGAGACTCATTTACAGCAGCAGGGTAACAATGCACAGAGTGGATAAAACTATTCGCTGCAGTCCTTTGAAATGCGAGCAGCACGCGAGGCTCGTTTCACCACTGATGAAATTCATCACATTCGAGGTGGTGTAACACATTTACACACATATGTAGTGGTAGCTCAGGGGAAAAACAGCTGCCTGCTGGCACAATGCATTCCCTGGAGACATTTACTCAGGGGCCTGTGGAGTGTGAGACCGGATGGGAGTCATGATAAAAAGAGAGGAAATGTGTCCAACAATGCCAGCCTCCTCTGGAAGGAAGTACAAAGGCCAAGGTGCTGAGGTAAGAAGCCACTTATAGAAAAATGAGCAACATTGGCTATATTGTCAGCTAAACAAAAGTACAATATGGAGAAAATAAGATCTCTGGTCTACCGTAAAAACTGAATTTTGTCAGTGAATAATAAAAGCCACTTTTAAAGAAGTTTAAATCTAATTTCATTCTGAATATCTTTAATGAGAAGTTCACGATACAAGTCATAACCTTTAGAAAACAATGCTCACAGACACACACGACCAAATCCTCTGGCCAGAGGATCTGATCCTTCCATTTTATTAGAGCAAAACCAGGTCTGTTTAAATCCTCCACTCTGTCACTGAGGATGTCAGTGTCCTCTCCAGGTCGAGGGTATCAGTCGCTGTTCTTATCTCTAATGACTGACGCATCTTTTTACTTCCAGCAAAGAAGAATACCTTCTTTTTTTCATACAGCTGGCCAAAGGACGGGAGGTGACGTTGTTTATTCTGCAGATGCTGTGAGTTTCCTGAGATGCCCAAAGGCTCTGGTTATATTTGAACTTTAAAAACCTGTAAAACTGTCCTGACGTTTGGAGCTAGTGGCATAACAGCAGAGCAGACCTGCCTCGATATGTCTGGAAAAATTCTGGTCAACTTGCCCTCGTTGTAATGCAGCCTGTGCAAAGGTTTTAACTCTATTAAAGAGTTACTAACATTAACCAAACCAGTATCAACCCAATTCAACCCCTTTATTCCAGGTCAGTCACTATTTCCATTCCTGTCCCTGTCCTATCATGTTTAGCTTTCTAATTTCCTGTTTTGTTTAATAAAGAGACTGTATTACACGTCTTTCTGCACTGCAGTCTCTCAAAAAAAGGGACTAACCTGTTCTTAAGACAAACAGAGATAGAAATAAGTCTGTACAAAGTGTCTGACCTGCAGATGTCTGAAGTAATCTGTCCTGTGCTTTTACTGAAGCTGCTGAAATCATGCAAATCCACCCTGGATGCATACATCACCAACACTGCAGAGCCCTAACGCATCATCCATCACTGAGGGTTTAAAGATAGATTGGTTGATATTGGTAGTGTGAAACATAGAATGCTGAACTTGAACAGTTTAATTGTTTGCCTCACATTTAAAAAGTAGAATCGATAACCAGATTGTAGTATAATTTAAAACGATTAAAAATTATAATAAAAAAAGAATTAATTTGAATGGGAAACTTGTATATTTTACCTGTATAAATATTTGCTGCTTAATATTAACACATTCACCCTTCACTTGTATTATGTTTGCAAAGTTGTTCTTTTTATTTCTATGAGACTTATAATTCATTAAAGAATTATGGGGTCTTTTTAAATAAATGCATTAATAACGTAAAACAGGTGAGTGAGATATATAAATGGGTAAATTGTGAAAAAGACACAGCTGTTGAGCGAGACGATCATTTTCACTACTTTCACATTTAAACACACAATAAAGATTCTTCTCCAGAACTCTGGTCTGAACTCAGGTCTCAGTCTCGTCCTACATAGTTGCATATTTGCTTCATACTTATATTTCTTTGCAATCTCAATTCCCAAATATATAATTTTATCCATATTTCATTTAAATGGCTCACTAAGCCAAACAAGCATCAGCTCACTTTTACACAGCGTAACTCCAAAAAGCTCATCTCCAATAGGACGAGAACAGATGTCTGTGGGTTTGCTATAAATATCAAAATATCATCCACACAATATTTTATTTGTAGTATGTAGAACTATTTCTGCAAAGAGCTGTATGAATGACTATTATATATTTACTTTTCCATCCATCAGTTTCTCTTTCCCCTTTACATTTTATCTAAAAAAACAAAAAAAAACCCACAGATGTTGGCCTGATTCAGCAAGACTAGAAGATGTGAGGACATCATTTTTCCTAAATTCACTCCAGTAAAATGACAACAAAAAAGTGAACAATCACAGCATATAATATTTTAAAAACCGTTTGCTGAGAGAGTGGAGTGTGTTTTTGGACCTTTTCCCCTTCCCCTCGGACTCTGGAACCCTGGACTCTTCTCCCTGACAC